GGAGTTCACGGCGCTGGGAATGAGGCGGGTTTGTCATGACTCGATCCCAGAATTCCCGGAATTCCCAGAATTCCCAGCAATGGAATGAGGCAGTTCTTTCATGCCATGATCCCAGATTTTCCAGATTTTCCAGAATTCCTAAAATTCCTTGCACTGGGAATGGGGCGGTTCTTTTATGCCAGAATTCCCAGTATTCCCAAAGCTAAAAACTAGAAATGGGGCGGTTTTTCCATGTCTCAATCTCGGAATTCCCAGAATTCCCAGAATTCCCACCACTGGGAACTGGGAATGGGGGAGTTCTTTCATGCCAGGATCCCAGAATTCCCAGAATTCCCAGAATTCCCAGAATTCCAGCACTGGGAACTGGGAATGGGGTGTTTTTTTCATCCTAAAATTTCCAGAATTCCCAGGAATTCCCAGAATTCCCAGCACTGGAATGAGGGGTTCTTTCATGCCGTGATCCATCCCAGAATTCCCAGCGCTGGGAAGTGGGAATGGGGTGGGTTTGTCAGGAATCAATCCCAGAATTCCCAGAAATCCCAAAGCTAGGACCTAGAAATGGGGCAGTTCTTTCATGTCACAATCCCAGAATTCCCAGAATTCCCAGAATTCCCAGAATTCCCAACACTGGGAACCGGGAACAGAGCGAGTTTTTTTCATGCTGGAATTCCTGGAATTCCCAGAATTCCCAGCACCAGGAAGTGGGAATGGGGCGGGTATTTCACTACTCGATCCTGGAATTCCCAGAATTCCCGGAATTCCCGGTGCTGGGAACTGGGAATGGGGCGGTTCTTTCATGTCACGATCTCAGAATTCCCAGAATTCTCAGAATTCCCAGGTTTTCCAGAATTCCTAGAATTCCCAGAATTCCCAGCACTGGGAATGGGGCGGTTCATTCATGCCACAATCACAGAATTCCCAGAATTCCCAGAATTCCCCAAATTCCCCAAATTCCCGAAGTTCACGGCACAGGGAAGTGGGAATGGGGCGGGTTTGTCACGACTCGATCCCAGAATTCCTGGAATTCCCAGAATTCCTGGAATTCCCAAAGCTAGGCCCTAGAAATGGGGCGGTTTTTTCATGTCTCCATCTTGGAATTCCCAGAATTCCCAGATTTTCAGGAATTCCCAGAATTCCCAGCACCAGGAATTGGGAATGGGGAAGTTTTTTCACCCAGAAATTCCAGGAATTCCCAGATCTCGGAACTGGGAACGGAGGGATTCTTTCATGCCACAATCCCAGAATTCCTGGAATTCCCAGAATTCCCAGTGCTGGAAACTGGGAATGGAGCGATTCTCCTGCGATGGAATTCCTGGAATTCCAGAAAATCCTGGAAAATCGAAGAAAATTTCCAGAAAATTTCCNCCTGGAAGTTGCTCTCCTGCTCCTTGCGGGCGCTCGGGGCCTCGGGGGCGCCCAGGGCGAGGTCGATGCTGAGGCGCAGCTGCCGCAGGAGGGTGTTGAACACCTCCAGCACCGTGGGGCCTGCCGGGAAAACACAGGCCCTGACATTCCCCTAAATACACTAAATCCACTAAATACACCGAATCCACTAAATACCCTAAATACACTGAATCCCCTAAATACACTGAATCCCCTAAATACACTGAATACCCAAAATCCCCTAAATACACTGAATTCACTAAATACACTGAATCCACTGAATTCACTGAATCCACTGAATCCACTGAATTCACTGAATCCACTGCATTCACTAAATCCACTGAATTCACTACATTCCCTAAATTCCCTAAATCCCCTAAATTCACTGAATCTACTAAATCCACTGAATCCACTGAATACCCTAAATCCACTGAATCCACTAAATCCACTAAATCCCCTAAATTCCCTAAATCCACTAAATCCACTGAATTCGCTAAATCCACTGAATCCACTGAATTCACTGAATTCACTAAATTCCCTAAATTCACTGAATACACTGCATTCACTAAATCCACTGTATCCACTGCATTCACTAAATTCCCTAAATCCACTAAATCCCCTAAATCCCCTAAATTCACAGAATTCACTGAATCCCCTGAATACCCTAAATCCACTGAATTCACTAAATCCCCTAAATCCCCTAAATCCACTGAATCCACTGAATCCACTAAATTCACTAAATTCACTGAATTCCCTAAATCCACTAAATTCACTAAATTCACTGAATTCACTGAATCCCCTAAATTCACTGAATCCACTGAATTCACTGAATTCACAAAATTCACTGAATTCCCTAAATTCCCTAAATTCCCTAAATCCACTAAATTCACTGAATTCACTGAATTCACTGAATCCCCTGAATCCCCTAAATCCACTGAATCCACTGAATCCACTAAATACACTGAATTCACTAAATCCACCAAATTCACTAAATTCACAAAATTCCCTGAATTCCCTAAATCCACTAAATCCACTGAATCCCCTAAATCACCTAAATTCACTGAATCCACTGAATTCACTAAATTCACTAAATCCACAAAATTCACTAAACTCACTAAATTCACTAAATTCCCTAAATCCACTGAATTCACAAAATCCACTGAATCCCCTAAATCCCCTAAATCCACTAAATCCACTGAATTCACTGAATTCACGGAATCCACAAAATCCACAAAATTCCCAGAATTCACTAAATTCACAAAATTCACTGAATTCACTGAATTCACAAAATTCCCGGAGTTCACGGCACCAGGAATGGGGCGGGTTTGTCACGACTTGATCCCG